TGCCTCTGTGTGTTTGTCAGTGCTTCTAATTTCTTTTACCTGGACTTATACTTCTACTCATTATATGTTTATTCCTGCCTTAAATATCACTTCCTGGATGGAGTCATTCAAGGTTTTCCTCCTGCACCTCAAACCCCCTGGGCAGAATCACCCATTTCCTTCACTGCCAGAGCACACTGAATTACCCTCTGTTTTGAACTCATCATATAACATCAGACTCTGAGCCACCCTCTCAATCTAGACGGAACTCTAAGGGCTATTTTCGACGCGGGGGTGGGCTATGGTGATCAGAATATGGTAATATTTTTCTCACACTCTTTTTGTATAGCAAGCATACTTGCACCAATTAAAATAGCAATACTGAGTCCCGAGGCCTAGCCCTCTTTTTTAATCATCCACTACGTTCATAGCTGCGCTTTAATCAATCCTACTGCTCTAACCTTAAAGAGCACTGTGTGATGATATGGATACCCTAGGTATCACACCCAGTAGAGGCGGAGACAAGAAGTTTGGTCCTGCAATAGAGTGATTTCTCTTCATGAGTAAAGCACTGTTTGTCAGACTTTCAGTCTTTGTACTTAAAAGTTACTTTTGTTTCCAAATATCTCCTGATCCTTCTTTGCCTTCTCCTTGACTGGTCTACACACATGGAAAAGAATTGAGTATTGATAAGATACTAGATAGTTAGATTCTATTTTTGACACAAATGCCATCATCAAGCAAACAGCTGTTGCATCTCACGACTAAAACTCAGGGTCACTCCTGGTGAACTGGGCTGCACGAAATGACCACACAGAGACACAGAAATACCTTTTTCTCTGAGTCCTGTGACGGCTCCTCCAACCTGAGGGGTCCATGGAAAGAGACAGGCTGAACCCTTTTGTTGGGAAGAAGCACATTCAAATGAGGCAGGGGTCAGGTTTCACAGGGTTGAGTCTAGGGAGGCCATGTCCATCTCATGAGCTGTGTGGAGGTCACAGCAGAGCAAGCGAAAAGACCAGGGTGAGGCCCGCCCAAACAGAGGGACAAGGTCGATTCAGTCCACTTTGTGTGCTCAGTGCCCATAGTTCACACACACAGCCCAGGGCTGGCTTGCCACATCTCCACATTCTCCTCACTCAAGAACAAGGGGCGCCCAGTTCCTAGGTGGCAGCTCCCAACAAACAGCCTTATCAAGTCTTGTTATAAAACTGACCGAGGTTCACACCACCTCCATTCTCAACTTTAGGGAGAGTCCTCTGATGTAGGATGAGTGTAACAGAGGAAGCCACGGTGCCTGCCTGTCACTTCCAGACTGGGTCCACCATCCAATGCCTGAGACAATGTTCAGCTTTATTATTGATTCAAATATAACACAAATTATGTTTCTTGACTGTGAGGTATGAATTATAATTATTTGGATAGAAATGGAAAGTTTTATTATTGAATAGGCACATTTCAAATATCTACAATTCGTACTCCGGGTCATGTGTTCTGGTAGAATGAGATAGAGGAGGGATAAGAAATACACAGATTACATGGGACTGCAAGTTGGTGCAACCAATCTGGAAAGCAGAATGGAGATTCCTTAGAAACCTTGGGATGGAACTATCATTTGACCCAGCCAACCCATTCCTTGTTCTATACCCGAAGGACTTAAAAACAGCATACTACAGTGATGCAGCCACAACAATATTCATAGCAGCACAATTTACAATAGCCATACTGTTAAACCAACCTTCAATAGGTTTAACAGATGCCCTTCAATAGATGAATGGATAAAGAAATTGT